TCCCCACCAAAGGTGGTGGGGAAAGGTGTGGGATGGGGCTGGGAGGGATGGAGCCCGGGGAGGCCCCGGAGGGGCTGGGAGCTGCCCAGGACTTTCAGTCTCTCCAGAGGAGACGCACAAAAGCACCTCTGATGTGGACGAGGGCTCCCTCGCCATCGTCTCCCCTCCAGCTAAACCAGAGCCTCCTCCGAAGCCTGACCCTCCCACGATCCGAGGCTGGATCCCAATGGCAAAGCAAAGGCTCCACCGAATACTCGGTCTAGAAGCTGCTCTGCCAGCAGTCCCAGGCCGGCCCCAACGCTGCTCTTTGCCAACGCTTTGCTGTAACAAGCCATTTGTTTTACTCTTACTCCCTCCCTATAGACAAGACTTTTGCTGCTTCTTATGAAAACATCCATTAGTGAGATTACCGCTGCTGGTTCGCTGGCAATTCCAGGAGCAATTTGAAAGGAAGGGACAAGAAAGGCAGAGGGGAGAAAATTGCACAAACTAGGCCACAGATCCCCAAATCCGGTCACCACCCAGGCACAGACCCCCCCCAGCCGCTCTCAGGCCTCAGTGCAGATGCGAGTCCCATCCAACCCCGCCTCGTCACGATGGCTCGGTGACACCCTGCCAGCGTGGGCAGAAGGACTGGACTCAGATCGGGGAGAATAAATAATCCGTCTCCCAACACTGGCAGCCACCGGCAGGACGGATCAGCCGGAGCATCCCTGGGGTGGCCTTGCACGAATGAGCGCTTGGGGATGGTCTGTGCCACACAGTGTTTGCAGAGGAAAGGACGGAGCTTGTGTGACAGGACAGGATCCAAGGTCCGGAGCGATTCTGGGGCAATGCTGGCAAGAGAACTGGGGAGCGCCGGCCTCCCCATACCAGAGGTCCCCTGCTTCCCCTCGGAGCGGTGCCAGCCACGCTGGGTGAGTGGGAGCAGCCCTGCCTTGCCTGGCACAGTCACAGCTCATTACCTGAGAGCAGCGGCCCAATTTCTCAAAGTCCATCCGCCTGCCCATGCTCTGCACCCCCCACCTGCCCACCCCTGTCAAGGACAAGCAAACCTTGCTGGAAAAGCCCCCTGCATCTGTCCTGCCTGCACAGCCGCGCTCCTCTCGAGCCCTGATCCACGCTCTGACCTCTCCGATCTATTTGCAGCACCGTCATGTGGGGAGGGCAGTGGTTCCTGCCTTGCCCCTGGCTACCTGCACTGCCCTGCGAGCAGAGGGACCTTGCTCTCCCAAGCACACCAGGCCGGAGGTTGCTGTCACGTCAGCCACGGCAGAAAAGCCCATGTCATCCCTGCCTTGGGAAGGGAAAGGCTCAGGGAACGCGCTGGAGGGGTGAGCAGGGTGACAGCAGGGAACAGACCTTGCTGGGAGGCTCACGTCGCTGCTCAGAGAGGCAGCAAGAAAGGCCAAAGGGAGATGGCAACCCACTGGAAACCAGCGCTGCAGGGAACTCGCTGTCCCACTGAGATGGGGTGGCACGGCTGCTGAAGAGAGGCAGCGCTGGGACAGAAGAGCCGCAGAGCTCTCGACGCAGGGAGGCTGTGGGGAGCCTGCACTCTGTGTGGGGACCCTCCATCTACGGTACAGCTCCCCTGGATAGCAGCTCCTGATCCACAATACAGCTCCCATCCTGCTCCCGGGCTCAGATTAAAGGCACACAGCAGCAGCAGGGTGGTACCAGTGCCAGGGAAGGCAAATCCCTGCCCGCAGCAAGAAGCAAGCCTCTCGACGCAGGGAGGCTGTGGGGAGCCTGCACTCTGTGTGGGGACCCTCCATCTACGGTACAGCTCCCCTGGATAGCAGCTCCTGATCCACAATACAGCTCCCATCCTGCTCCCGGGCTCAGATTAAAGGCACACAGCAGCAGCAGGGTGGTACCAGTGCCAGGGAAGGCAAATCCCTGCCCGCAGCAAGAAGCAAGCCAGTGGAGGGTGGAGAAAAA